CCCTGTCTGTAGTACAGTCCAGAACCAGGTTGGTCTCCTCTTCTTCTGTGGAAAAAGAACCAGGCCTGAGAGATGACAAGCCACTAATTTACTCGGGGGCGATTCTCACAGGATTCTAGACACCTGCCTGAAAACTGAGCAGAAGAATTCTTTTCAAAGATCAATCTTATTTGAAATACAAAACAAAAACAAGAGACCCTTTAATTAGAAGCACAGTGAAGCAGCTCTGGTTCTTCTTCTTGTCTTTTCTTACGCGTGGGTATGAGACAGTAGCCGTGTGCTGTGTGGATGAGCTCATTAATGTCACTCACAAGGTATCTGGCCTCTCAGGTTACCACAGAAATCTTGTCAGAATTAACATATCAGAGAGGCAGAGAGACAGAGATAAGGAGCTCAGGCAGAAGAAGCTCTCGGCTTCTTCTTAATATGAAGTTTTCATTTCCCTCCGTAGGCGGGCAGGTGCCTCTCTATTATAGCGGGGGAGTCACTTTACTCCACAGAGTTATATAAGCCTGTTTCTAGGCCAGCTTCCTTCCAAGTGCCATCACGCAAACCTTACATCTTCAGATTCAGAAATGCCGCATATTGATTCCACACTTAGGAAGCAGAATTGGGGATTTAAGTTTTTGAAAGAGAGATTTTCTAAACTTTAAAAGTGCTCTTGGACCGGTGTAGGGCATAAAGTCTGATGCATTAGGATTCAAGAAACTGAGGAAACCTTACGATGAAGGACTCCAAGTGGTTACCTGTGCCATCAAATAATGCCATAAAAATTCCTCTCTGAAGGGTACCTAAAGTATCAGGATATCAGAAGCAATGGAGAAAACGACTACAGTCCGCAGGGTGTTTTTGCAAGATTGCCTTTGGAAGCAGATATATGCCACTTAGAGACGCACATGCAGTACAGAAAACTGAAAGGTAACATTTTTTAATCCAAATGCACATTCTAATCAATGCTGATTTTTAAAATTTAAGGTACACATCCATGAAATGCAGAAGCAAAGTTAAAGAGCGTCAGAACTGCCTGCTTCAGGGAAGCTTATTATTTTCCCCCCATTTTTAATTTACACCCACTTTTCTCCCCAATGAGCAATGCTCCCTCTAAGATGAGTTAGTGTGAGCCCGCTCACAGTTTCTTAGCCTCCAGCTCACACATTTTTGTCTTCGCTCAGGAAGGATGGCTCCAGAGGAAGCTAATTTATGCAGGAGCCAAATCGCTCGCTCACAACTTTAACACCAGTAGCTCAAAAAGTAGGATTTTTGCTCACAAGACTCCACGGCTTAGAGGGAGCATTGCCAACGAGTACTATCCAAAGTGGCTTACAAGGTGTTGTACACACTGCTTATGGAACCAGTACTCTGCCACTGGCTAACAGTCCGTTTACCTTAGTAGGTGCTCTTAACGCTTTCATGGTGCATATGTTAAGTGCCTTTGATGATTCTAATCACAGTGACTGAAATCAATCATGAAAGCATTAACAAAGGTCACTCTCCCTTCCTCTGCTTTATCGTCACAATAACCACCACGCAAGGTAGATCACAGTGACTGAAATCAATCATGAAAGCGTTAACACTCTCCCTTCCTCTGCTTTATCGTCACAATAACCACCACGCAAGGTAGGGTTAGGCTGAGAGAAAGTGACTGGCCCAAGATCCCGAAGTGATCTTGCCGAAGTTCTAGGATCGCCACCTGTACAAACCTGGAGATCTCCCGGAATTACAACGCATCTCCCAGACGACCAAGGTTAGTTCCCCCCAGAGGGCGGACTCTACGGCATTATAACCCTATGGCATTATACCCTCCCCCGCCCCCAAACCCACCCTCCCCCGGCTCCCCCCCCTTTTATGTTCCTAAAGTAACAGAATGACTTTCAATCTAGAAAAGAAAAAAGAAATGCTAATGTAGCATTTTTTTTCAATTTTTCCGAAAATTTCCATTTTTTTCCGAAAAAACCCAGAAAAAAACCGGGGTTTTTTCCGAGCTTCAAAATTTCTGGAAATTTTACATCTCTAGGCTCCACCCCCAAAACCTCCAAGTATTTCCCAACCCAGAACTGGCAAAACTCCCGAGAATGGGACGTGGGTCTCCCAGATCCTCTTCTGGCCGTGTAGACGTGACAGGAAGGGCTGCCCCGACAACCATGGCGGGTCATTATGTGAGGGCTGACCAATCCAGAGGCTTTCTATGGCCTGCCACTCACAGGGGCTGATGATGCACACCACTTTCCCCTTATAGACCTGAAACGCCTGGGTGATGTGGTGGCTGGAGGGACCAGGGTTTACGTCTGCACATGGCTCTGAAGCTCTCTGGCCAGTCAATCTCTCACACCCCAACCTACCTCACAGGGTTGTTGGGATGATATAACAGAGAACACGCACAGCAGGATAAAAAAATGTGGTATCTCATGTAGATAGTGGTTGGAGGCCGGCATTCATAAGCCAGTCGGTTCCCGCTTCTAGCTTTGGCACCCCTAACAGCATTGAATGATGAGAGATGTCAGAGAAGGACACGCCAGTCAGAATAATGCACTTTCAAACTATTTCCAGTGCACTTTGCGACTGGATTTTACTGTGCGAAACGGCAAAATCTACTTGCAAATGATAAGCTGTAAGTGGACTGAAAGAGCATTATTCAGATTCTGTGTAAAAAGTTAGCACCTTTGCTTCGCAGGCAAAAAACGATTTGTGTTTTAAAAGCGGTTTTGTGATTTCATTGTTGGAGTTTAGAAATGTGTCCCACTAGGGACTCCGTAGTCTTGTTTTTGGGCCTTCTTGGCAACTCTATACTGAAGGAAAAAGCAGAGGGGGAGGGCGGGGAGAAGAAAGATGGAGGAGAAGCGAGAGCAGGGGCCGTAAGAAAGACAGAAGAGTAAAACCTGATGTTGAGAACCCTGCCTTGTGTTGTCTTCTTGCCTGCATTAAGCACCAAGAGTGGTGGTGGTGGTGGGAGCAGGAAAGCCTAATAGAGTGAGGATTAATTCACACAGAGACCATGGTAGTTAAGCAAATAGCAGCCCAGTCCACTGCGTATTTACCCAAAAGCAACTTCCATTGAAACCAGTGGGGCTTACACTCAAGTCAAGTGTACAGTGGATGGAAGAATGAACATACATAAACACATATGAACACACATGAAGCTGCCTTCTACTGAATCAGACCACTGGTCCATCTATATCAGTATTGTCTACTCAGACTGGCAGCAGCTCTCCAGCGTCTCAGGCAGAGATCTTTCACATCACCTATTGCCTGGCCCTTTTTAACAAAGATGCCGGGGACTGAACCTGGGACCTTCTGCATGCCAAGCAGAGGTTCTTCCACTGAGCTATGAGTCCCCAGTCTTCCGTTCAAAACTCACTTCTGCAATAAAATCACTTGACAGCTCTAGTAATCTACTCTCTCTCAGCCTCAGACACCTGCTCTGTCCATTAACACCACGCAAGGTAGGGCACTGATCTATCTTGTAGGGGTGTTGTGAGAATCAGAAGAAGATAATACATATCAAGCCCTTTGCCTCTTTAAAGCAATATGTAAATACTTTTTATTATTCTGCAGCTGTTGACTTGCCACCTGTGCCTAAAGAACTGTTCTTTATTTATTTAGCATTACCAGAAATACTCATGGAAGAAAAGAGGTATACCATGACTGGAAAAAGCAACTTTAACATATGAGGAGGACACTATATAAAATGAAATACTGGCAATCTCACGACACACAAATGGTTTCATTTTCTTACAGTTTCACCGCAATATCCTTATTTTGAAGTTCTTTGGGTAGCAGTCCTAACCCACAGACAGATGTTTAAAGGAAGGCATTTTAAAGGCACATTTAAAACATAAGGAAATGCACATGCATAAGTCCAAGAACAGAAGGGCCCAGACTGAATATGAGGTTCTCCCCCCACCCCCACCCCGGCCAATATTTCAATTCAGTTCAACAGTTCTATTGCAGAATATGAGTTTGTCAGCCAGATCTCTAACAAAGTTACTTTCTGCCAACACCTGAATTGTACACAAGATTCCCAACACGGTTGAAAATGCAAAACTCGAAAACTGGGGATATTCAAGGGATATTATTCTCTCAACGCCAAGAGCCAGATTACCTTTGTTTTGGAGAGAATAGGAGCTCCCCGATCAAGCAGCATCCGCACAACCTGTTCATGGCCACTTCGTGCCCCACAGTGGAGAGGTGTCAGCCCATCCTGTGGAATACAGAAGTCACGACCATAAATACTAGAATGATGTGGCTCTTAACACATACGGAAGAAAAATCGTTCTTTCATCTCTGCTCCATTCTCACAGAGCGTTCTTTACGATGCAAACAACCAAAACCAAAAACTCAATTTACATTTATTATTATTTTGTTACCCAACAGTGCAGTGTTGTTTTCCATGAGAGATGCCACTTAGCATGAGAGATGCCACTGAAATGAGACACAGGCCCCGGTCACACGGGCCAGATATCGTGGGGGGGAGGCGTGGCTGTTTGCCCCGCAGCGAAATAACGCGCGACTGCGTGATCAGGCGTCCCCTCGCGGTCCCGTAGTTAGGGGGGGAGTGCCGATCACACGACGCGTCAAAGAAGCGGCGCGGCACGGCAAACAGGGTTGTGTTTTGTTTTGTTTTAACCTGAAGTATGCGCATGCCCCGTTGGGTGCTTGTGCGCATCCCTGGAGACTTCGGGGGGGGGGGAACCTTTTCGCAATGGGGCATGGGCGGGCGCCGGATGCCACCGAAAACGCGATCAGACGCCCACCCTTGCCCCGCGGTTTCTGGAAACTAGTACCTCCGAGGTACTAATTTTTTGCCGCGCATCTTCGGCGGGAAGCCTCGGTTGAGCCACGGGAGCTCTACGCTTCCCAGATGTGGTGGTGAGATCGCGCCTGGAAAATCCGCCTATCTTCCGTCTCTCTAGCGTGGCTAATGCTCTGTGTGACTGGGGCCCATATTATACATTTGACTACTACTACTACTACTATCATCATCATCATCATCTTTAATCCTGGTGATTATCTCATAGGCAGTTCACAGTATTTCATTTTGGATGTGCAAAGAAGAAATTATGTCTAACCGGCCTTGTGATGAAATTAGACCATCAACTTACTAGAACACAAAATCTACAAGAATAATTAAATAAAACATTAAAGTGGACCCCATCCCAAAATATAGCAGACATAGCGCGGTTTAAAATACAAGAAAAATTAAATCGGATCATCAGCAAAAGATTAAAGCCATTTAGCCGCCAAACCCTTAAGCCCTATGAAATGTGTTCATTTATGATTAGCGTCTTTCAGTGGCATATAGCTATAGCCAGTTATTAAATTACCATTATTCATTTTGATAATACTTGTAATGTGTCCAACTACTATCTGATCTTTATCTCACGCATCTTTACACCATGCCTGATTGTTCAGAGAGGAACTATACATGTTATTATTCTATGATCCTTTTAACCTTTTATTTACATATTTTCTTTGCTCTGGGGCCACCTTTTTTTTGCTGACACTCAAGGTTGGAAACAAAAAACGTTTTCTACGCTGCAGCTGCTGAAGCTTCAATTTTAAAGGGGAGAACTAGTTCTTTGACCTCCCGCTCCCCACATCCCAATTGTCAACCCTAAGACTTTTGACACACACACCCCACTCAGAAAAGTATACCTGTACAGTTTTCCTTAGCAGGAACACAAATATCTTAAACATCTTGAAGGGAGTGATTTTTACTGGGGAAACAGGGAAAGGAGTAAATAGCCCTTTCCCACTAATGCCAACTTCCCCTGCCTGTAATGTCCTTGCTCAGGGGGAAAAGACAGATAATCTGAAGTAGTTGAGAGACACCATGTTATCTGGGCTCAAATACAGGCCTTGGTACCAGTGAGGACAAAACAGCCATGAAGAATCCATCTCACTTGGCTGGAACACCAGAAACAGGCTGGGGGAAAGGGGACCCTACAGCCAGCAGTGCAGACCCTCTTCCTCAGCTGCCAACCACAGCCCCAAAGATTGGCCTTGGACACTTCTGTCACTCAGTCTTGTCTTCTAAACTCATGGTTCTCAACCAGTGGTACGTGTACCACCGGTGGGACTCAGTGGCTAGGGTTGCCATGTTCCCCTTGGCCAATGGAAATTTGAGGGGTGGAGCCTGGGGAGGGTGGGGTTTGAGGAGGGGAGGAACTTCAGACCAGTATAATGCCATAGACTCCAACCTCCAAACCAGCCATTTCCTCCATGAGAACTACCAATGCCAGCCTCCAGGTGAGGGCTGGAAATCACCCAGAATTACAACAGTTTTCCAGGTGACAGAGATCAGTTCCCTTGGATAAAACGGTTGCTTTGGAGGGTTGAGTCCAATGTTCCCTCTAAGCTCTGGAGTCTTGTGTGCAAAAATTCTACTTTGTGAAACCTGACTTGGCTTGCAAGATCTGCTCCACTAGTTTAAAAGCGATGTCTGGTTTTGACCTTTGTCAGAACAAATTGCCAGCGGCACAGTTGTCCACCCCAGATGCAGGTAACGTCCAGCCCAGCTGGTTTTTTGCTTCTTGGCTACCTGTTCTTGTTCCATGGTGTACTGACTGGCCATGAATACCCTTGGGATCTCAGGCAGGAGGCTGGGAGAGTGATGGGGCAGAAAGAAGGAGTGATGGGGTGGGAGAAGAAAGAGAGAAAGAGTGATGGGGTGAGGAGGCAGAAAAACAAAGAGAATGATGAGGGGGCAGAAAGAGAGGAAGTAACATGCATGGAGGAGAGAAAGACAATAAGAAAGGGGGGGCAAAGGGAGAAAGAGCATGAGAGAAGTAGGGGGACAGGAGAGGAAGCAAAGGAGTGAGGAATGGGATAACCATCTTGCAAGTTTCTTGCGGGTCTCCACTTGTAATAACAGAATGCTTGAAAAGATATAAATGTCCTTCTTGGGGAGAAAAAAATGGGGGTTTTGTTTCTATCCTCGTGGGACACAGATTCCTTTGACAGAGTGATGGGTATGAAAGGTTGGGTCCCATGACTGTGGACACACCAGATAGCCTGCCAGGAGACCTCCACTCAGTAGGATTTACAAATCCCTGGGTATAAATGTGGGAAACCAGAGGTCATTTCGGGGGGGATCGCAGTTCCCCCGGGTGAGGTACGGGGGACGGGGCACATGACGAAGCCCCGCCCCCTGCTTCCGGCCGCCCCGCTTCCGGCCCTCATTC